GTGAGAGTGTGAGAGTGTGAGTGTGAGTGTGTGTGAGAGAGTGAAAACATTGCATCCTGCGACGGGACAGTACATGAAAACCCCGCAGGCTCCATCATCTCGGCTTATCGAATGAAACTCCAAAGAATTTGTGACTTGCTACATCCTGAATACACCAGCAAACGTCCATGTTGTGTCTCTTCCCACAAACTGGAGTCCGTCCTTGTTAAAGCAGAAAGAACCCGAGGGGAACACAAAATAATTAGGCAGAGTCGTGCTTTTTTTTTTTTTTTCTGTCTGACTGTGAAATATTTCTAGTTTTCAGAGATCGGTTTCTCTCACTTTACGTATTAACATGCAAGCAATAATGAGTTAGGGTTGTTAGGAGCAGTGGTGGTGCAGTGAGGAAGAGGAGGAGGAAGAGGAGATCTTTGGCCGTCACTGGATGAAAACAGAGATTGTTTTTCAGGAACGAGATGAGCTTATGTTGTCATCGAAGCCCGCGTAGTTTAGAAATCGTGTTTCAAACATGCTTCAAGGGTTTGAGGGTCACTTAACGGCGTAGATAGACGTGCAAATGTCCAGTTTGAGTAAAAAAAGGAAAGAACACCAAAACTGCAGTTGTTTTTCACAACACACTGTACAGAAACTTGAGCCTCTCTGCATCATCAAACAGCCTTTGACCAAAAAAACAACAAAAAACTAGAGGAATCATCCGCTTCACATTTTCAGAATTCTCTTTATTTATTAAATTATTGGTTCGAAGCCCGCTGTACTAAGCCGAAGATTTTCTTTTCACGCAGCCATCGTGGAGCAATATGAGTTCTTGCAAACATCTTACGTTAATGTGACAATCTTATTGGTCTGTGTGAAAATGTTGAATCCTGTTCATATATGAAAAAACGCGAGAGAGTATGAGGTCATTTTGTATCGGTTGTACGACTCGCCCTCATGAAACTTGTGCAAAATATTCTTTGTAGATGGATTTTACCTTGAAGGTCAAAATGTTAAAGCTGCAAAACGTCTAATTTTTTTTGTAATATAAATTGAAAATGTGCTTCAAAAATTTTAGCTTTTGGAGATACTGTTAGGGGTCAAGGTGTTGACTTGTGAATTGGAAATGTTTAGAATATGCCTTATTGTTAATTCAGTGTACCTTTAAGGAAATGGAATCTGCAGAGAAAAGATAATTAATGTTATGTTTTAAATACTGTAACACCTGGTGTTCTGAAATGTGAAAGTAACCTGTCCCTTCAAAAAGACAAAAAAAATAACTTCCAGAGATTTGGGGCTAAATCAAACAGGCCTTCTCATTTCTTTAATTGATTGTCATTTTTTTGTTTTTATATGTGAAATTGTCTTTTGTTGGAACGAACAAACGGAGTTGAAAATATGCAGTAATGTAGTGTTGAAACCCTCTGCAGTAGTTTGGGTGGACACACACACTAGAGGATTCTTAAAGGACTAGTTTGATGACTTTGGGGGGAAAAAAAATGTTGATACCACTTTAATGTCTGTATGTTAAATACAAAGCTGCAGCCAATTAGCTTAGCTTAGTATAGCATAAGGACTGGAAATTGGGGGAAACGGCTAACCTGGCTCCGTCCAAAGGTAAAATCTGTGTACCAGCACTTCTGAAGATCACTAATTAACACATTTAAAGGCAGAATGAGTCGGATTCATCGGTTGCAGATTGTAAACACAACATTCAAAGTTCCTCACACCCAAAAGGTTGACGCACAGAAATGTCCCTGAACACCACAAAACCTGAATTGGACCCAATAAGGTGCCGGTGCCATAATTCAGCACAACCCTAACCAATTAGTTTTAACAAGGACATTTTCAGCACTGATTTCTTAGCGTTAAGCTAGCTATGTAAAATATGAAAGAGTCCAGCATGCACTTTTTTCTACAGATTAAACAAACATGATATAAAATACTGTTTAGTTTCCCTTTTGATAGCAGGTTAGCAGTTTCCACTTCTTTATGCTAAGCACAGCACCTACTGGCGGTAACGTTGGCTTCCTATGAACAGACAGAAGAGTGGTATCAATCTCAACTGCGACAAAGCGAATCAATGGTAAATTCCTTTAACAGAATTTGTGCCAAAATGAATCCAGTTTGAAGTCTTCAGGTGTGTTTCCACCCTCAGAGGTTTCACTGTAATGCAGTAAAGATGTCAGTGTCTTTCACAACACAGGATTGCACTCCTCGTCACCGCTAGACTTCTTAAAAGGGAAAATCCACCAAAATGTTTTTATTTTTTATTAAGAGTTTAAGTATTTCCTGACATCTGCCCGTATTCCTCCTCTTTAGTTATTCAAAGATGCTCAAGATGAAAGAAAAATAAGTCAGCTTTGGTGGAATCCCTTTCAATGAAGCAGCCTCATGTGCCATTGTTATTGTTGCATTACGTCTGCAAAACACTGAGCGTTAGAAATGTGCTTAGTTTTGTCAGCATTTTAGGACAAAGGGATTATTACATCTGCATGTTGAGCCATTTTGGTATTTATTTGTAAAAAGTGTTTAATTTATTTATTCCTTTTTTTTTTTTTTTTCTGACTGAACTGTGAAACCAGGGGAGCTCATAACTCTACACTAATTCAACTTCAGATACAAAACATTTGACTGACAGATTGTTCTGATGCCAAAATCAAGAGGCCTTAATTCAGCAAAACTAGATTGTAAAAAAAAAAGTCATTCCTGACAAAAAAAAAAAAATCCAACTGAAGACTCCTTTGACCTGAAAGTCACGAGTGATTCATATATGAAATGTTAAGAAAACCGCTTTTGTACTCATTTTTACAGACTATTTATTAAACTGTGATTTTGTAAGAAATAAAAAAAACAAACAGTGAATGTGTTCGTGTCTGTATGTGAATGAGTTCAACCAACAAAAACAAGTCACAGAAGATTTAATACAAACATGATTTTTATTTTTCATTCACAATTTAGGAAAAAACAAAACAGCTTCCAGGGCTTACATACATAATACGAATAAAGACAAAGCAGCTCTATTGTAAATAAATTCATCACACTCAAAGAAATGCCTTGCAAAGGGTTTTTTTTTATTTTATTTTTTTTTAGCTTTAAGGTTATTGTCAAAATCACATTAAAGTTGGCGACTTCTCTTCACGGTGGAGTTTGGATTCTGTAAAAACGACGTCGTAGTGAAACATCTGTAAACTGTTACGAGGTCATGGCCTGATGCTGGGACTCCGGTCGGGGTTTGGGGATTAAGAGGCACATTAAAACATGAGCCATGGAGGTTGTCCCACCCGTCTGGAGGAAGCAGCAGCAGGACATAAACGTCAGGGATTTGAAATGATCGACTGAACCGGCCAACTTTACTGTGGTTAGTTTTCGTCTCCCCCTGCAGCAAAAAGAAAAAACCCTTGAAATGTAACACATTCACGCCCAAAGGCACCTTGAGACCAAACTAATCTTCTCAAAAAGGGAACAGGGTAATTTGATTTCAAGATGCTTCCAGGAAAATCGTCCTTCATCTATTGACTTAAAACAGACAATAGACTGAAAACAAAAGCAGGGTGGGGGTGCCACATCATTTAAAGGTCATCTTAAAATGATCCTCTCTCTGCAAAGCAAGTCACTTATTCTCAAACTGATGGCAGTAAAAGCTGCTAACCTGCAAGGGGGGGTGGGGGGTAAATTTAGGGGTAAATTAAGAGCAGGCTGTAGCTTTTACTAAACATCTGTTCTTAGAGTTCATTAGTTTAATTTTTTTCATAAATAATTATACATATTTGATGATAAAAAAGTGGCCATATGCAACTCGTGTGACATCCACGGTGGCGTTGTGGAGATATCTTCTCCACAAGCGGAGTCTCTGCTCAAATTCATTTAGTCCATTCAGGATCCAGGTGGAAACCCAGCAGCGTCTCACTGGCACTCTGGTACGTGTGTCACCAGAAACAGAGGGTGGGGTGAAACGTCATCCATCGCAGATCAAGTGTGTTCGCTCACACACTCGTCACGGCCTCGTTAACACCAGAGTAGCAACGTTTCGGTCCCAGCTGGTAGATCAGTTCATTCATCCGTTCAAAAAAAACAAAGCTATTTGGCTTGTAAAGTTGACAGAATGGAAGTTTCAAATCCAACTCGGCACTCTGACCGGCGGATGAGAACATTCAGGTTCCTGTCCTGGTCTGTAGCTGCTTGTGGTCCTCGCAGAGACTCAGTCAGTTGAGTTTGATCGGCAGGTCGGCTCCGTATTTGCGGAGGAACTTGCTGTGGTTGTGGTCGACGGACCAGAGGGGGGGAAGGTGGCGAGGCTGCATGGTGGTGAGGAAGTGCTGCCTCCAGTGGCGCTCCAGGTCCATCAGGCCCTGCAGGCCCTGCTCGGCGTGAGCTCGCACCACCTTGAGACCGTGAGGCACGTACGCCTCGTTGAAAATCCTTCAGGGAGGAGAGAGGAGCAGTCAGAAAGAGATTCTGTACAATGCACTCACCGCCTCTATAAAGACTGCATGCAACACAGCTGATGAATAAAGCCCGGTTCAAACCAAAGACTCACGAGACAAAACTGTTTTGAACTGTGTGAACTGGCCCAGGCCGGCTGATCTCCAAGGCCTGGGTTTAAAACACAAGGCATGTCACCTGTTTCAACAGCCAATCAGCTCGGAGCAAAGCCAGTTTCAAACTGTCAGCTGGCTGAAATGGCAGATATTTGGACGGAGGAAAGAGAGGATCACTTCATAAATCTGTTTGAGGAACAGCTGTGTCTGTATGGCCTCGAAATTTACTCAGAGCAAACCTCTGGTTTTTTATGTTTTCACTAATTAAATTAATACTAGAAATTAAACTATCAATATCTTCGCTAATATTTTAAAAAGACTCAAATCATACCCAGCAACAAAAAAAGCTTAAAAAACCAGCAGTTACCTATGACCTATGAACTGTCTGAGCCAGTATTATTACCCATCATTAGCTAATTGTAGATATATTGTGGGCAAGTATGTCAAACAATGTGCATGTTTAATTCATCGTCATTCATTTAAAGCAAATATTGAAAATATATCAGCTTCATTTTCAAAATGTTATTGGCATTTTTAAAGTATCGATCAGGCTTCACCAGTTGCAGCAAACATAAACTTGCATTAACATTAAAGCTACATTCAAAACATATTTGAGTTTATGAGAGAGACACTGCTCTCACCAGCTGAATGGAACAGTAAACCACCAACTTCAGTCTGGTAAACATTAATAACAGTCAGTGACAATCAGCCCCATAAAAGTAAACGAAGGAACTTTTATTGATTGAATTTATTATCAGTTTTATTGTTTCGGTTGTTAAGCCTGTTTTACACACGTGGGTGCTACTTGTATTAATATAAATTAATGCATAAACGTATGTCCTCTCATTTAAGTGCTTGGCTTTTACCTTTTTATGAGCCTCATGACACAAGGAGCAGAAAATGCTGCTCAAGCCAACGTTAACAAAATACACATCACATACTTTTATGTGCCGTCACTTAGGGCTTATTTTTCCTGATGACCAATATTCTTCCTGCTGCTAAGTGTCTCCTTATTCTCACTATAAACTATTTCAGTGTTTTTTGTTCAGCAACAGTGCTTGAGGACATTTTCTGTATCACATTAGTTAGAATTTATTCTGCAGGGCTGAAAAGGTCCAATACTTCACACTAAGAGTATGTAACATCATGACAATTCATTGAGTTAGATTAAATAAATGAGACTTTCAGATAAACTTTTTCTAGTGTTTCTAAAGTGTTTAGTTAGTTTGGTTCAAACTCAAGTGGGACCAAGTAACTACACACTGATATCAACTCTTTACTTCAAACGCACCTCGTCTCCAATCCGGCAGCCTGCTGCAGCACCTCGTCCGTCATCTCCTTCTCCTCGTTCACGTCGAGGAAGCTCTTGATCAAAGCCTGCAGCTCCTCCCGGCGCTGTTCCGGCAGTCCGTCCCCGGCGGTGAGCAGAGCCCGAGCCGCCGAACGTACCCGCCGTCGGTCCGAGTCCTCCAGCAGGCGAACCCCGTCCTCGCAGCCCTGAGGGGCGGCGAACTCTTCGGCCAGCTGCTGCTTCAGGAAGCCGTCGTGCACGTTTGAGGCGGCGTGGCAGCTGGTGCAGAGCAGCAGGATGTCGTGGGAGTTGTGGTCCTTCATTTCGGTGGGAAAATGTCGTCTGTACTCGTGTGGCACAATGTTTTTCCTGCAGGACCAAAGGAAGATATTAATTAATCTGATGTGTCTGGGATTAAAATATTCACCTTTAAAAACATAAAATTGAATGTGTTTTTAATAGTGCGGTCATTGATAATCACTTCATTAAATCAATCCTTTAAGTCATTTATCAAGCAAAACAGAAAAGCACTGGTTCAAAGTTTGTGAAATGTGAGGATTTGCAGCTTTTCTCTATTTTATACCTCTGTGTTGGACAAAAAAACAACCTATAATAGTTGAATAAACATTGGAAATAATTGGTAATTTTATCCCTAGTCTAATATAGAAGCGTACACAGTTTCCAGCTTTCAAGAAAGAACACCCTTAATTTCAGATTAATTAAAAAAGTAAGGAGATGTCAAACCTGATGTAGGAATCTGCTTTACCACAGACCACACAGAGATTCTCCTTAGCAGTGAGATAATAGTCCTGTTGGGAGTCGGGACGTCCTGACGGCTCAAACAGCAGCCTCACAACGAAAGGATCCTCACTCTGCAGCACTGGGTCAGAAACAGAGATAATGTCAATTATATATATTAATATATGATAAATATTACTGGTTAGCCAAAGTAGAGCAACACAGATTAACAAGTGCATTCTAATTCCATTAAGGTGTCTTAGCTTTCTCTTGATGTAACACCAACCACAAGTGTAGGTCAATGCTATTTAATTCCAATTAACTGGATAACTACACTGACTGACAGTGATTACAGTGCACCGTGCTAAAGCTGAACACATCCAGTGTAGAAACAGAGGAATACAGCTGCTGACGCGCTGCTTTCACTGTGCGGCTGTAGACAAGCTGTTAGGACTTTGCAGATAACATTCTGATGAATCAACATTAGGCTCGAAGCGACCACATGCAACTTCTTAACTTTGTTATCCTGTGTGTACATGCCTAACCGCTCTGTTTGTCTGAGGCAGGCATGTCAAGTGTTTCTGAGACCCTTTGTGACTCAGCTGCTGTGGGCAAAACAACTATAAGCAGCCACAGAGCAGAAGTGAAGGATCAGAACGCTGCAGGAAGACAAAGTGCTGCTGCAGCAGACAAGACCATTCCAACATTTTAACATGTTGTGATGTTATTACATTAAATATGCTGTTCACAGTGTGCATTCGCCCACTTAATGAGGGAGATATTGCATCAAGGCAAAAAGTTGCATGTTGTAGCTTAAAGTAGCAAGTCATTGTGTTTTAATGTTCACATGTTGGAGTTATCCAGTGTACCTCCTATTCCTTTATCTAGGTACCATTTGGCTTTCTTCTTGTCGCAGGTACACAGAGGCTGGTTATCTGGAGCATGGAGGAAGCAGTTATCATAGAGAGGAGACTTCCTGTAACAGAGAGAATAAACATATAAGCAGATCATTTTAAGCGGTCGTGGCAGCAACAGTTCCTTGTGTAGTCCATCCTCACCTGGCAGAATAGCCTACACCCAGCGGTTTCCTCTTGTTATTCTTTCGAGGGTCTGGGACTTGCTGATCTCCAGACTCCGGGCTCTCATAAGTGGGCGGTTTCCGCGTCCTCCGCCTCCTCTCTCCGTCAGCGGCCCTGTCATCTCCGTCTCCTTGGCCCCTGAAGGGTACGTCCACCAGGCCCTGGCAGCGGGCAGCCAACTCAGAGTAAGAGCTCCCGCTGGAAGAGGCGGGTCCGGCTTCAGAGTGGAGGCCAAGGAGATGGAGGAAGAGTGCGATGGAAACTTGGGCATCTCTGGCAGCATAAGTCATCTAAGGGGAACGATAACATTGGTTACAGGAGTCTCATAATATGAAATCTTATGTTATTTCAACTTTGTCTCTAAATACTACAACACCCATAAGCCCCTGCCACCATTGATGAGGTGTAACAGAGCAGCAGTGACATAAAATGTTTTGTTGTTGCAATTAAAACAAATCATAGTTGCTGAGCTCTGTAATTATACACAAATTATACACAATTAGTAATCTATGACTTCTTACGAAAAGGACAAAATATTCTGTAATGCAGTTGTTCATCTTTTGTACTGAATGAATTCAACAAGGAGAGTTTCAGGGCCACCCGAGCTGTGGAAGTTCTTCAGCCGTCAGCCTCCCACAGTTGTCTATGGAGAAAGTTCATTTATAGAACCAGGAACATGCAAAATGTCTCCTCCCACTTCACAACCATCTTAAAGAGCTTTAGATTTATTCACCGAAGGGGATCGGAGAAATGAGACGTATTAAAAATATGAAGAGTGTTGTAATACAATGAATCACTACCTGCTCCAGCGTCAGTTGATCTGCCTCCCAGTCGCTGCAGCGCAGCTCCAGGGATTTATCTAGAGATACATTCAACAGATCTGCTGCCAGAGACTTCAGACTCAGACCATTATTCACTGTAGATAGCCTGAAAAAAGACAATTTAGGAGATTTACATACAGATCACAATGTGACTCACATAAACAAACAAGAGGGGAAAAGGCTTCTGCTTTGTAAGAGCACTGCCATCAAACAGCAACCAACTGTACCTTTGTCTCAAGGCAAGGTAGCGCAGGTCAACTGTACACGACAGCGACAGACCGTAGTCACGTGTCAGACGCTTGCCGTCTTCATAGCAACCGACGCCAACTTTCAAAATGTGGGGGTCTCGGAGGACTTCCATTAAGCTGAGAGGGAACGGCTGTTGGCCGCCGCGAAACGCCAGCAGCCTCACCAGAACACACAGACCCGAGTATGTGGCCATCTGTAGCAGGGAGACCGCAGAGGTTCGGCCTTTCACCGACACCTGCAACCGGAAAACAGCAGCCAGGTCAGACAACAAACCCACACGAGCAATTTAAAATGTGGAAGGGGATGTTTAAAGGAAAATTCCACCCTTCTGACACACTCTTACACTAGTATACATTATCAAACTGGATGTTAAATGCATTTTAAGAGTTATAATTGTCTAATTTCCCCCCCTATGTGACTATAATAGCCTAACAGCTTGCTGACTTTATGCTGATCTTCTCCATTCTTCATTAACAGAGAATATCGGTGTGATTTTAAAAATTTAGGGAACAATACAGACTCACTCAGGGTGGATTTTTCCTCTTCACGTATAAAAACATGCAAAAGGTATTTCTTACGGCGTCGGTCTTTACCCATTCACAGTCAAGCCCCAGCACAGGGAAGACTGACAACTCCTTTTGCATCAGTGGCCACAGCTGCTGCCATTCCTCTTCAGAGCTCACCGTTACCGGTTTCACCCCCAGCAGCTGCTCATAAGACGGTATCTGTACGGGAGGGGGCAGTTGAGTGGTCCGACACTCCACGGCCTTAAGCTCTTTGTCCGGAAGATGTGGCGGCTGGGTGTACTCATCCGCCGCCACGTCCGTAAACTCCTTTTCCACAGCACGCGGAGCTTCCACGGGAGCGGCCACCTTCTGAATGGAAGGCAGCCTCTTCCTTTTAGTTCTGTAGACCTGCCATATGAGCAGCCCTCCTAAGGTCGCCCCCAATACCGTCGTTATGACAACAGTTAAAGGCCCTCGGTGAGACATGCTGACTTGTAGTGATCTTCGGCTGGCTGAAAAAGGGGCAAACCTGAAGTCAAACAACAACAACACAAGGCCAGTTCAGTGGGCAGATCTGTAGGTTTGTTAAGGAAAAGGTATGGGATGTTTTACCTTTCCTGTGTCAGTGTGATCCCATGTAAACTCGACTTTGTTTCTGTGATCTGGACAAGCACTGCATCTCTCTGGGGGGGGGGAGGAAAGAGGCAACACCAGAGGTACATTAATGAACAAGCAGCAACATTAAAGCTTTATCCATGTTTGATAGCATCCAAATGGAAAACTAGTTCATCTCGGGGCTGTATGATCATCTTATCAAACCGTCACCTACAAGTTATCGTGGAAAAGCCTGGAAGCCCCTCGGCCACCTCCACCTGAAATCATACCGGTTACAGCAGATTCTTCTTGAGTTGAACATGAATTAATAATCACAACTGAGATGATTTATTGGGCTCGTATTGCCTTCATTTGACAGCAGCGGCTGTAGAGAGACAGGTGGGGAGAGGGGTGAGCTATGAAGCATCCCTCATATCTTTAGGAGCTGTGGATGATTAACTGCATGAGGAAAGAGCAAAGGGTGGAGCAGATACTGACAGGTGAGGTGCAGACACTCACCTGTACACCAGTTTCTGCTGTCAGGTTGTCTTTTCTATCAAAAGCTACGGCTCTAAATCTAAAAACACAAACACTACGGAGGCAACAGTTAAATATATGTGATAAACTGCTATTAAGTAAAGTAAGACCCTAATTAGGTCACAGACTCTTGTGTAACACCGGTCGAAGTTGGGTCACGTCAGCTGACGGTCGTTTCGCCGTCTGACATTAGCAGTGTTGTGTTAATTAAAATAAAGCTCATTCAACTCAACATTTAGCTGTTAAACATGACTTAAAGTGTTGATAGAAAGTGTCAGCACCGAGCTCGACTGTGTGCTGACATTCAACCGCTGGGCTCAACATCAAGACTGTTACCTGTCTGCACAAAAGCGCCCAACCAAAAAGCATTTCTCCTCCTTCACTGCACATTGTTGCAAAAGCTCCACTGACACATGATGTTTCTGTCTTTATCTGCTTCTTTTCTCCAAGTTAAACCTCTGTTAGCTCGCTAGCTCGTTACCCCTGCAGCCTGCTACAGCTCCCCGGCGTCCTTGAGCCTATAATCGGACAAACGACTGCCCGGACAGCGGGGCAGCGGCTACCTGTGTGTACCTGCGTGTGTAGGTTTGAGTCTTACCTTTGCGGTTTTTTTTTTTTTAACCAACACAACGCCAGTTCCACACACACATGCACACTTGCTTTTCTTTACCAAGCTGGTCCATGTCTTCCGGGCTGTATTTATAACGACGCAGCTCTCCGGTCAGCGTCACCTGGTGGACGGACGGACTGACTGCAGGTAAACACCAAGGCAACACACAACTGCTGCAGCAACTTTGTTTTTTTATAATCTCATTTGTCTAAAAAAAATGTCTGATATGATTGCATCCTACATGCACAGTTCACTTAGTGTTTGTTAAGTGCAAAGAAAGAAATAATAAGTCTACTCATACCTTAATATTTCCTGGACCCTTGCTATTTATTTTCACTGATATCCATTCAGTACTTTTAAAGTATATTGTGCATACGGATACTGGGGCTGCATCTATTTCTATTACAGGTTTTTTATCCAGTTATTTTCTTAATGTCCAGTATATGAAATGAAATAATGAAAAAATTTCCAAAAAAACAGTCCGAAACCCAAATAATATCCGATGAATAACGATCTAAAACAAACATTTGAGAAGCTGTAACCAGTGAATGGCGTTTTCTGTTTGATAAACATATGAAAATAGTCGAGCACTGACGTGTATCTGTTTCATTATCAATGTTAACAGCTGTCACTACTCATTATATACATTTAAAACATGCCAGTATTCACTCAAGAACACAGACCACTTTTTTTCCTCTACCACCATCAATTTATTCAATCTTTTAGCTTCAATATTTCTCCGAAGAAGTGGAATAAAGTAATGAAATAATTACAAAATGGAAAAATAGATCAGATAATAGATCATATTCACAGGTTTGATTTAAAAAAATAAAAACACGACAGAGAGAAATCAGACAGTGAGAGATGAAACCATTTTATCTCCCTGTAGTTTTCTGCTGAGCGTCAGAACCACAGCAGGCTAACGGAGGTCAGGGCAGGTCAGCATGCAGCCTCTCAGCTACTGCAGCACCACAACTGACTAACCCATGTTGATCAAGGTCACCTGTGAGGTCAAATCATCTACTTTAGTGCTTGTGCAAAATAAAAATTTAGAAATCAACTACTTAAAAAAATAATATAAGAGGTGGAGAAACAGGAGATGACACATCCTACCGAGTTAAATAAAAAAAAAACAAGATCGTTACCACACACAAAAAAAAAGAATGACAATGAAGACAGAAGAAGTAAAATGTTAAGTACTGATGTGTACTAAACTATTAAAAACTGAGCACAGGTAAGAGAGGCAACCAGTTGGGCACCACCACCATTGCTAGGTCCACATTGATTGTTGCTGCAATGACACCCTATTTACAGTGAGATGCTTCACATCCAATCACAGGATGCAATAGACGGAAATAAAGAGATTTTTCTTTAAAAAAAAAACAAACAAAAAAAAACAACAACACAAAAGTAAAGCAGCTGTCCCTTCACAAAATCTCTTTACATCACATTAAAAATTAGCACTGCTGTGAGCTGTGTGTACAGTATAGATTCTTTATAGATATATATTTATGTATAATATATACGGTCATTTCTTGTATACACGAACATGAACTTGTCTCATTGTAGCTAGCCTGTGCCTTTGGCACGATTACTTACAACTCTTCTGTTAGATTCCAAAGCTATTTAAAATATACTTAATGCATAAAAATAAAGATTTTGGCATTGTCTCACTCTATTCTTCTGATTGGGAAGTTATTAAATCAGAACTTCTCCTCTGGAAGCTGAGTTCTCTCAGTGCTGCAGTTCCTCTGCCAGGTGGGGGAGGTCTCATCCTGTCAACAGGGGGCGCTTGGAGCTGGACTGAGCAAAGGCAGGCAGGGGACGGGAGCCACCATACCTGGGTGGGTGGAAGGGGGCTGACAGGGGGCTGGGTGTGGCTCGGCACAGATATTCCACAGGGTAATGATGACTTTGCCCTCCACAGCACAAACAAAACAATATGTACGATGCTAATGAAATGCCTGGGGAGCTGCACCCTTGTTAACAGCAACCTGTTTTGTTTTTTTTCTCCCCTCACTGCTGTGCAGAGTTCTGCTCCCTGCTGATTCACCTGTTGCTCTCCACTGCCTCCCCTCTTTTCGGCCCTGCTGAGCATGTCCACTGAAACCGAGATGAAGAGACAAGAGGACAGCCCATTCTCTTCTTTAGTTAGTCACCCATCTGCTCCCTCAACTAAAACGGCCTCCTTATTGTCCAGTCCTTCGTATCTCGAACACAGTCTTCAGAGCTGGATCTCAAAGGTCTTGTGCAGCTCAGTGGAGAAGGGATTTGTCGGGGAAGGTGTGGTGTGCTGACGTGAGCGGCCCTCCAGGGCCGCCCACTGGGCCTCGAAGGCATCTTGCTGCGGCTGCGGGGGCGGCTGGGTGGCTGGGGAGGATGGAGCGAGTTGGGATGGAGCAGCCCAGCTGTCTGCCCCGTTGAAGGTCACACTACCATTGGATGGCTGGAGGGGGGCCGGGTTCACTGCGGTGGACTGTGGGGGTTTGATGAACGGGCTGACGTTGCAGACAGCCTGGGCATCATGCTGGGGTGTTGTGGAGACCGGGGCCGGGAATGGCTGGGGTTGCGTGGCTGAGCCGAACACATTAGCCACCATCTGTGAAGGAGTAATGCCGACCACGGGCACGCTGGGCTGAGGGAACGGCAGACCATTCGGCATCGGGTAGGAGGATGGAGCCTGAGCGTGGAAGGCGGGCTGGCGAGGGGGCAACATGGGCACGGCTGAGGGCAGAGAGGACAAGAAGGCCACCGGGGGAACAGAGGGAACAGATGCCACGGGCATCGGCACAGGGGCAGCGAACGCCTGGGTGGGAGGCGTGGCTGCTGCCATGATGGGATTGGGCTGCGGGGCTCGGACAGACTTGGTGACTTCCTCTAACCACCGGTCTGCTTCTGATGGTGTGCGTTTGTGGGAGGGCATGACTGGGGAGGATGTCGGGGGGACCACTATCACCGGAGTAGGGGATGACCAGTTACTTCCTGTTAGTACACAGAAACAGCAGACACAGTATATCAGTGAGACAGAGAGAAATACTGAAGTAACAGCTCATCACCACAGTTCATAGCTACTGTTGGTTGAAAGGAATAGTTGTGCTTATTAGTTTTCTGGTGGAGAGTTAAATGAAAAGATCAGTGTTCTTTAAATATCAGTCTACAGCCAGCATGATGCAAGCATAATAGGACCTTCAACTTTAACTATAAATCAAAAGGTACACAGTAACATTACACTCTCAGAGCACCCTGTGACATGCAAACTTGTCAATTTAGCCTCTCTGAAGTTCTGCTTACCTGGCTGCGATGAGGCTGGTGCCCCTGCTGGGGTCTTAGCCCAGGGGTTAGTGTCTCGAGCAGGCAGAGCGGGGGGCAGAACTGGGGGGTTAGGGGTAGCAGCAACAGGAACAGAGAAGGCAGCAGTGCCGTTCACTACAGCAGATAAGAGACAGGAGCTAGTACAAGCAAGGTTGTGTGTGTGTGTGTGTGTGTGTGCGTGGGTGTGAACTGATATTTTGTTAGACATGCACAATATTACCGTGCAGTTAATTAGCATTCTCAAGTGTTAATCACACATAATGTAAATGTTACAAACATAATTATGAGGAAATATTAGCAGGCACACAAGTGAAAATTAAAATGGCAAGCAACACAATCATCACTAGCAGACTATTCATTTCCTGCAGAGCTGAAGGCAATGAAATTCAGCCAGAAGTGGGCAATGACTGTTGGCCAGAGGAGTTGGCCACAGAACTTTTGGCGGTCTTTTGAACAACCAATCTATTAGTGTGTGCTTCCTCATT